CGGAGTTGCGCGCAATTCTTTACCGCCGATTTACGTCATTGGGAAGAAAGAACTAGTCGCGAGTTGATATCTCGAACAAGCCCACGATCTTATCATCTCCCCTGAAACGGAGATCGGTTTACGTTTTCGTCTTCGGCCATGTAAGCTCTAGCGCCTCACCGATTTTACCCACTTCGCTATATCGTTTTTAGATACTTGGCCAAGTTTTAGTGTTGGCCAAGTTCGTAAGTGTACGTTCGCTAAAGTTTCGACGTCGGACGAGCAAATTGTACCGCGTACAATCGTACGCGATTGTACCACCGGTGTCTTTGCGCAACGTTCCTTCGCACCGCACCGCTTGTTAGAGCTATCCGCGTTTAATGGAAAAGCGTTTGAGCGAGCGGAGCAGGACCACGCAGACTCCCTGCTACGCACACAGAAATAACTCGTTATCTATTGGCTTTATCAAAAAAATGTTTCAAGGCAAATTTACGAGTACGTTTTTATCTCGTTAATACCTAAGTACTGTTTGAGATAGCAGGCTAACTGCGAACTTTTTAATGGACGTTTCATATTTCTTACGGCATTAATCGATCCAGCTGGATGTTCGCTACGAAAAAAGAAAAAAAGGTTTCCTTTCTTCTTCTTATTTGGTTTTCACGGCTGTTTTACGGTTTGCACGGTTGTGTTGGAGTTGTTAAATCGAGGAAGGAGAATGTTCGAGCTTGTCGGACGAGAGTTGTTAAGTTTGGTTTGTTGGTTTGACGAAGCGGATGAGAAAGGGATTGGAGCGCGTGCTTAGGATGTTGGCGAAAGTTTGTTACGCGGGCAGAGTGTTTGACAAGATGTATTCGCTTTTCGTGGTTCAGCGATGGCGCTGCGAGAATCGTGTAGGTGCCGTGGACGTACTTGGAATTTTAAGGGGAGCCGAAAGATTTTTCTCTTTTTAAATGATAAGCGACATTTAGAGTTTTAGAGAGATGGAACGTTCGTTTAAGTAAGGCAATGTAACGACGATCGGAACTCGGAATTTAGTTCAGTTGGAAGATGATATCTGACAAAATTATCTGTAAAATTTGGTTCGATATCTTTTGCTAACAAGTCGCTTCTCAATAAAATGAACTTTTTGGCACGAAATCAAAATTTCGAAAGCTATGGAAACCCTGAAACTACAAAATTAACAAGCGTTCTCTTCAACGGTGACGTGTTTACGAACAAACGTAATTGTAGCAAATTTAGATAAGATTAAAATTTAAGCTGTTTTCCTCTAAACTTCAATTTTGAATAATTTGTTACATTTGTATTGCAAAGTAAAGCGTGCAATATTTTGCAAGCATCGTTTCTTCCAACGAATCGATACAGGTATCGAATTCGGATAGACGCGTAAAACAAAACTATGCGAGACAAATATAATTATTCTTGTTAATCGTAAAATCGAAGAACGTTACGCAAGACAAATACAATTATTTTTATCGATACATCTCTTGATGTCGTTCGTTGGTCAAAGGTCGTGGCCTCGGCGTCATTAACGCCGATTACGCGTCACTCGATACAGCTCTCTTTTTTTCTTTCGTTTCTTTTTTTTTGTTCGGCGGAACTTCAACTTCCTATGCGGTGCTCTATCTGCACAGCGTGTTTGTTTGCAAACTTAGTATCGGAGTTTTCCATATACGTATTTAGGAAACAACGCGTTGTCGAGAAAAAGTTTACACGCGCAAGTTTCGTGGTATGGAGATCGCGTTTTCGATTTTTTCAACATTTTTACTACTTTTTAGCTTTGTCGCGTCCTTGTAGACTTCTCATACATATTTATATCGTAATAACGGTTAATTTTATCAGTTTTTAGGTTGTACGGTAATACGCATATTTATAAACGCGTAAGATTTCAAGGTAGATGTTAATAAGAATGTTTGTGACATTAGATAAGCTGGATTCACCGCGCGTAACGAGTCAATGCCGAAATTGTACTTCTCTCGCGTATTATTCCATCGTGTTTAATTGCTTTTCGACTCGCGCTACCTGCGCCTTTTGCGTTTCGTAAGAGGTTGTTATCCAAGGAATTCGCAAAAATCCTGTATTACTTCTTTGTTGAGATCGAAAGAGCCGTATGAAATAAAGTTGCGTATAAATACTTATGGCGAATATTAAAATGAATTGCTTTCCAGATAATATCAATTTAACGGATAATAGAAGATAACGTGAACTTCCCATAAATAGGCAAACATTCTAGTTGTCCCTCTCGATCCTATTGAAATTCAGAGTCTCTTTATTAATTCCATTAGCATTTTCTTGCCATTTTTCGCTCCACTTAGCGAGCACCGTTAGAGGAATTCGTCGTTTCGAGTGGCTGGCGTTGATGATCGAATTAAGCGGAAAGTTAAGCAGCCCGTAGTACTTACGAAGCGGTAAATTTGTTAAGTTGAACTGCTAATCCAGCGACTTAATTACCCCTTATCAAACTACCATCCACGTTGATGTAAAGGGTGCTTACGAGCTCGTGTCCAACGAAGCTCGTTGATAAACACGATAAACGAAAACTGCTAAACCACTCGCTTCGACCGAAATGTGTAAGATTACCAAATCCGTGATGCAACCGCTATACGGCGTTCTTTTTACGTTTATTCATCTTCCGTTCTTACTTGGTGTTAAGGAGCGTTCCACCCGATCGTTGGACGATCCATTTTTCCGTCTTCACGCGTTTATCGCCCGTTATACCTGTCGCGGCGATTATCGTGTCCGGAGTGCGAATAAAGTGCAAAAAATTGTTAATAAATGGACTTTTGTTCGAGCGATTCGCGAGACTGCGCTTATTACCAAACAACCACCGTCCTATCCTCGTCGGGATAGTCGCAGCTATTCGAGTTACATTTCCGTTGTCAATTTGAAGATGGTTCAGGATCGTTGCTAAAATAAAACAAAAATGAAAACATACAGCGTTTTGAATATTCCGTTGCGAGTCAAAGTCGGTCCCTTGACGTTAAGACGGTATCTTAACGAACTGCGAATAATTCCATCTTACGAGAGGCAACCAAAAGTAAAAGCATAGATGGACGAAACGGAAAAGAAGAAAAAGAAGAACGTAAGCAAACCACGAGACATCGACCGAAGACGAGATAACGCTAAAAATTTCATTGGAATCCTCTCCATCTTTATCTTCTATCTTTTACTCGACTCAAGGCGAGTTGGTTCCGGCTGGGGTCCTAACAATTTCCCGACAAGGGGCTTCCCGCGGGAATTTCCGGTCTGTTTCCACGCGGAATCTCCGCGCCACCTTCGTTACGCGTCGTTTGCCAAGCCGTTTATCTCCTCGTCATTAGTTATGCCGTGCTGCTTGCCTGCTTCCAACCGCCCTGCTTCCACCTCCCTTTTGCCTCCTGGTGAAAATAGGTTGCCGTTCTAATTGCCGGTAACCACAGTCCTGGCGTTATGGTTTGCGTCACACCGAACGCACAGGACCTTTGAGCTCTCGTAGTTTCGAATCGAGCCTTTGATAAGCAATCGAATTTTAAATGGGCTACGTTTAAATATCTGCTGCGAGATTAGTGAAATTTCGATTACACGGGCGTCGGGAAAATACAAGAAACTCGAAAATGAGAATAAAATACTTTGTATTCTCGAATTTTTTCATAGCGTCGTCGGGTTTCTCGCGTAAGAGATAGCGCTAAAAATTGTTCCGCAAGTAACTCTAGCCTGTACCTTCGAACATGTCGCAGAGTGAAATTTAGAGCGAATAAAGTAAAGTTCTCGAAGTTTTCATAGTTGAAAAACGTCAAGGGATGCTGGTTTTGATGATTTCGAGGAGGGTTGCTTGAATCTAGGAAGCACGAAACTTTAGTCGGGGTTATTTTTGGAAAACGGCTAACGGTTGAGAGGATTTGCGGAGGAAGGACGGGATTTAGATAGTCGAAGGCTCCTCGGTGATGCATAATTTCGGGCGGAGCGGTTTCATCGCAGGATACTTGGCCAGGAAGTTGATTAATAATACCGTTGCTCGTGATGCGGCTTGGTTTCTTTACACTTGTCAGTGTCGCCGGAAACATTTAATGGATAATTTTGCAAATACCGCAAATAGAATGGCATATGCTAACAGTTACTAATGATTGGCTAAAATTTGTGCGCGTTCCAACAATCTCATTTCCATTAGAAACTGGGATTTATACGTGCGTTGCAAGGCTTGTAAATCTTCAAACAATTTCGTACATCCTCGAACACAATTGGCGCGAGCAAAAAGACGAAACTGAACCGTTTCCGTGCGGTTTCTGAGCTAATCCCTTCGATATGCGGCGCATATGTAACTGTCTAGTAACGATCAAACAGTTCGTCCTCGAATATATCAACTATTCGAAACGTTGCGACTTCGTAATAAATATATAAGCGAATAAATTGTACGAGAGTATTCATCTTGAGAGTAAATTCATCTTGACAGTATTACCACGGGATTTTTAATAAAAAAAAAGACATTTATTTAACGAATAATTGGCGAATTTTCGGTGAATTACGATCGCCCTCCAAATCGTTC